CACAGTTATGCAGACTTGTACTCCTCACATTAAGATCATCACAAGGATAGGTTTTTATAATTTAAAGAACATTGCCATAGTTTGCCCCATTCTCTCTCGGGGCAACACGGAGACGCTGATGCATGCTTTTATCACCAGTTGCATTGAAATGCCCTGCTCTCTGGTCTTCTCAAAAAGAACATTGCAAGTCTTCAATTATTCCAAAACTCTGCAGCACGTGTCCTGACTAAGACCAGGGGGCAGGATCACATTACACCGGTTTTAAAGTCACTGCATTGGCTCCCTGTGTGTTTCAGGATGGATTTTAAGGCTCTTTTACTGGTTTTTAAATGTCTTAATGGTCTTAGGCCTTGCGCTCCTCCGGCAGCAGACTCCTAACCATCCCCAAAGTCAGGACACACACTCACGGCGAGGCATCTTTCCAGCACTACGGCCCCCGTCTCTGGAACAGTCTGCCGGAGGAGCTCAGGGCCGCAGAGAACATTCATATTTTTAAAAGCAGGCTCAAGACACACGTTTTTAGTTTAGCTTTTGATCCATTTTTATTATTTATTATAAAATTTTACACATTCTATTTATCTTTTTAAAAAATGTATCTATGTTTTACTTTTTATTGTAATGTTTTAGTATCCCCAGACCCAGTGGTTCCTCTGGAGGAGCCCTCTGCCCTGGGAGCAGTGGTCGGCTGTGGCTGTGGGGGTCTGGCTCTTGGACCTGATGGAAGTCAGGGGCCTCCTCTCTCCTCTGGGGTCCTATGTGGTTTCAGGCGACTCTCTGCTTCTGGTTCAGACGGCTCCTTGGATGACGCTCCTAAATAAAATTTGATTAATTGAAGCTAATATTAGCATCTTAACTGTTAGCTAGTGGCCTTTATGTGAGATTTTGTTCTTTATCATGTGCAATTAGTACTAAATAAATATGACTAAGACTATGCTTTATGCTATGGACCCAAATATGTGTTTTTGATGTGAGCAGAATAATAAAGTTTAAAGCAGTTTTGTGGTACTGTGGTATAATTTTTACTCAGCCCTAAAAACACAAATATTTGAAAGGCTGCTTTCCATCACCGCAGGTTCTATATCTGAAATCAGAAACACTTGACGCAAACTCAATCTGCAGCCGCGCAGGAGGAACAGAAATAAAAATTAAAGGTGATTACAGCGAGAGGCAGCGGCTGGACGACATCTGGAGCCCACATGAGGCCGAACATAAGGAGTGGACAGACCGAGTGTGACATCACCATAGTGGGAGCCTTAATGTGGAAGAAGCCAATTTGAAACTAGCTGGAGCCAATTTCCTTATATGGGCATTTGTTCCATTCCTGCTCATTTTCCGACTAAGCTAAAGATAATGAATTAAATATAGTATAGAGTTGTACTTTGTGCATTCATTCTTACTGTTCTGTCAATTGAGATGCAACACTGACATTTCCCCACTGACGAATAAAGGATCTTATTTAGCTCATATCTGACTTTACAAAGACAAAATCACAATATAAACACCAGGATCATTGAGGCAAGGCATGTCTTATTTGTATAACACACATTTTTACAAATTCATATACAAAGAAACTCACACAAAAACAATCACACAAGGCATTCAAATCATAAATAATCGCAGTACAATAAAAACAGTGAAAATACAATCCTTCGGTTGTTGCAGTGAACATAACTGGATTTGAACATTGTTAGAGAAACCTATCTCACATTTCTGCTCCAAGAATGTTCCAGAATTTAGCAGCAAAAATCTGAAACGCTGCGTTGTGATGTTTAGTTCCGACTCTGGGCAATGATTGCGGCTTTGTTCACGTTGACCTGATGTCGTTAAACAGAACAGAACAGGTCGACCTCAATACTAAAGCCTGATTATGGCCAGTCTTTTAGTGCCGTGTTTTCACCACTGACTGAGGAAAACCTTTTGTGGTTTGACGTACGGCAGGAGTTAGTGGCTGCAGGTTTTGATTCCAACCAAACGAGAGCACACCAGACCTGATGAAATGGGCAGAGTTTGATGTCTCTCTGGTCTGATCACTTCCGCAACAACTTCATTTCTTATTATCCAACTCCTCCACATCCATATTTTTAGCAACAGTTTTCCACCTGCTCACCGGGGGGTGGGGCTGTCTCACTTCCAAAATGTCTGTCCCCTTGGTTTCACCGACATTGATTTCTTGACATCAATTTAAAGTCAGTATCACTACCAATCTCTAATCATTTGAAACCAAAACTGCATAAAATTATGTATTTATTTATATATATATATATATATATATATATATATATATATATATATATATATTTACAGTACATGCCAATTAGTATATTATAGTCTTGCACAGTTTTTTCCTATGTGGTTTTACTGCAAATGGCAAATAAATTCTTGAATCTTGAGTATATCTCCTCTGGGTTTTCCCCCAGGTCAGCTCTATTTACCACAGCGGGCCAATGTTGCAAATCTGCAACATCCAAGAAGGCATTGCCTGTGAAGGTCTCTTAAAACAGAATTACATAATTTTCCCCAAATATCAGATTTTTCCTGTCATTCAAATTCAACAGGCTGTCGAATCCTGCACTTTAGACACTGGTCCACCTCAGAGCACGTGCTGCTGCGATCCTAATGATTTCACTGATTTCTGTCACTATCATTGGAAAAGTTAACAGTCTTGACTTTCATTTCACCTCACGGTGATAACGACAGCTCCAGTGTGTCACATGAGGAGCGTGCTTAAAGCTTTCAAACCACAATCACAATTAGCATGTTCTGAAATCACTTGGTCCTCACTCTCAACAGTTTGCTTCTATCACTAGTTTTCACATCCATGTGTATTTAGCCTCTGTCACATAAAAAGATCAGTTTTATCAGACAGAAAAGCGGTTGAGTGAGGGTGGTCCTCTCTTTTTCAATCAGTTCTCAGCCCAAAATGTCAAAGACTGACTCACAGGGATTTCTTACACAAATCACAAAACTACTATAACATGTTTATGAGAGAAAAGGCCAATTTGAAGATAAGGTAGCTGGAGCCAATGTCCTTATATGGACATTTGTTTCAACAGCGTTAGCTTTGTGCTGTAACAAGGGCAGACATGTTGCAAAGGAGGTTGCTAAGGCAAGCTGGCGTGTCCCCCACAAATGAAGGTATCTGATTGGTGAATCCTTATATGCACATACTGAATTTGTATTTACAAAGACAATTTCTAAAAATAGAGAGCACCAAACCACAGATTTTTTAAAGCCCAAAATGGTGAGTGTGACAAAAACGGTTAGCATATGGTATATACAGTCTATGGTTTGTAAACATTTCTACTACTGATCTTCTGTAGAAGGTCATGGGTTCGAGCTCACCACGAGACCTTCTCCAACGACTCCCACTTATGTCTGCGGCCGTTGTGTCCTTGGGCAAGAAAATTAACCCCACTTTGCCTGAAGCCCCTGCTGAAAGATCAAGGCTGTGTCATCACTATAGGAGCAGCCATCTTCCTGTGGACTCAGAACCTGCAGGAGGATCAGTGAGGGGCTGGTGCTCTGTGAACTGGGTGCAGCTCTGACTGCATCTCCCCCCCCCCGACCCAGAAATGGATTAAGGGGAAGAAAATGGATGGATGACCCTCTGGTCTTCAATAGATGACTAGAAGCCTTCATGATCATGTCATCTGAGGAGGGTGTGGTGTCGGGATTACAGAAACAGACACCCCCCAATGTTTAGTGACCCGATAGTGACCCCACCTCCATCATGAGGCTGATGCCACATCACATGGTCCTCGTCCCCACACTCACACTGAGGGACATGGGCTGGTGTATCACTCCTCTCGATCTCTGGTCTCACAGTCTCTACGGTCTCTCTCGCTTTCTGGTTTCCGGTTTCCCCCTCCCTCTCTTTCCTGTCTCTCGCTCTCCCTCTGGCTCTGGTCTAGGCAGCTCTACCAGTAAATTCCTGGGCTGCCTTACCTGGATAGCAGGTTTGAGATCTCTCCAGAGTGGCCATGACACTTGAACATAGAAAACATGTCTATATAACGGTATTTGCCCGAGTTTCCCCAGAGTCTGCCCTCGGGCTCAGGCCTGCTCTGTCCTGTCCTCCACTCACACTAAACACCATAAAACCACCACCATAAATCCAACACGGTTCAAAAACACGACAGCAGGAGGCTACAGGGAGGGGACCATGAGCATTACAGTCGTATTAGAGCAACAGGGGACTCGCTACCTTTGGTGTGTTAATTCATAAACAATGAACGTGTACAACAGTCTGAGGTCTTTCAATCCATTTATTGTATTATTCATCTATTTTTATCATGGATCAGGGCTGTCAGACTCACTTTGGTTCAGGGCCAGATTTAAAACAAAGGTATTTTAACAAAGATTAAATTAATCTAAAAAAAATCTAAAAATCATTTTATGGACAATTTTTCTCAACAAAACAAGTTCTGATGACCCCCGGTTTCACTACTTCCTCCACCACCTCCAGTCCACTGGTCCCATTTAACCAGTTAGTCCCTCTTGGCCCTGGTTCTATACAGGCCACGCTGGTGTTAATGTGTTCTAACTGACAGTGATTGGTCAGAGTGCTGCAGGAAGCCAAGGAATTCCCCAGATATTGGTTTATAGTTGGCAGGTTGCTAAGGTGCGGTAACAGATACTAAAGCGTAATGAAAACCAGGTAGAGTAGAGTAGGGCTGGTGGACATGGGCCTTTACCTTACGTTTGGACTGAACCCACATGGGTAAAAGTTAAAGGATTGGGTAAAATAATAAAGGATTCACATTATTAAATTAAAAATTCATAATGACTCTTTGAGTTCTGATTTTGTTTTCTTGAGGACATTAGCTTTAACATGAGTTATAACCGACCATGGTAGCTCAAAACAAAAGTTCATTTCAGGTTGAACTGCACCAAGAAAAAAAAGGAAATATATAAAATATGTACAAATGATTTTACATCAGGGACTTCAGGATCCAGGTCTTCTCCTTGAAATCAAAGAAAGTCTGGTCTCGGGTTGGGTTTCAGTGGAGTTCCTGGTCCAGGTTCTGGTCCTGGACTCGTCTGAAAACAGCGATGTAGTTCTTTCCCCCGTTCCTCTGGACCTTCTTGCCCTCCTCGGTGCAGGTGCCCAGCCGCCCCACGATGACATCATCAGCCTTCAGAGAAAAGTGTTAAGACTCCATTTGAATGAGAATGCAAACATGTCTCTCTCTCCGGTCGGTTTCTCTCCCTCTCTGCGGTTTCTCTCCCTCTCTCGGTTTCTCTCCCTCTCTCGGTCTCTCTGCGGTCAGTCGGTCTCTCTCTCTCTGCGGTCGGTCTCTCTCTCTGCGGTCGGTCGCTCTCTCTGCGGTCGGTCGCTCTCTCTCTGCGGTCGGTCGGTCGGTCTCTCGCTCTCTCTCTCTGCGGTCGGTCGGTCGGTCTCTCTCTCTCTCTCTCTCTCTGCGGTCGGTCGGTCGGTCTCTCTCTCTCTCTCTCTCTGCGGTCGGTCGGTCGGTCTCTCTCTCTCTCTCTGCGGTCGGTCGGTCGGTCTCTCTCTCTCTCTCTCTCTGCGGTCGGTCGGTCGGTCTCTCTCTCTCTCTCTCTCTCTGCGGTCGGTCGGTCGGTCGGTCTCTCTCTCTCTGCGGTCGGTCTCTCTGCGGTCGGTCGGTCTCTCTCTCTCTGCGGTCGGTCGGTCGCTCTCTCTCTCTGCGGTCGGTCGGTCGCTCTCTCTCTGCGGTCGGTCGGTCGCTCTCTCTCTGCGGTCGGTCGGTCGGTCGCTCTCTCTCTCTCTGCGGTCGGTCGCTCTCTCTCTCTCTGCGGTCGGTCGCTCTCTCTCTCTCTGCGGTCGGTCGCTCTCTCTCTCTCTGCGGTCGGTCGCTCTCTCTCTCTCTGCGGTCGGTCGCTCTCTCTCTCTCTGCGGTCGGTCGCTCTCTCTCTCTCTCTGCGGTCGGTCGCTCTCTCTCTCTCTGCGGTCGGTCGCTCTCTCTCTCTCTGCGGTCGGTCGCTCTCTCTCTCTCTGCGGTCGGTCGCTCTCTCTCTCTGCGGTCGGTCGCTCTCTCCCTCTCTGCGGTCGGTCGCTCTCTCCCTCTCTGCGGTCGGTCGCTCTCTCTCTGCGGTCGGTCGCTCTCTCCCTCTCTGCGGTCGGTCGCTCTCTCTCTGCGGTCGGTCGCTCTCTCCCTCTCTGCGGTCGGTCGCTCTCTCCCTCTCTGCGGTCGGTCGCTCTCTCCCTCTCTGCGGTCGGTCGCTCTCTCCCTCTCTGCGGTCGGTCGCTCTCTCCCTCTCTGCGGTCGGTCGCTCTCTCTCTGCGGTCGGTCGCTCTCTCCCTCTCTGCGGTCGGTCGCTCTCTCTCTCTGCGGTCGGTCGCTCTCTCTCTGCGGTCGGTCGCTCTCTCTCTGCGGTCGGTCGCTCTCTCTCTGCGGTCGGTCGCTCTCTCTCTGCGGTCGGTCGCTCTCTCTCTGCGGTCGGTCGCTCTCTCTCTGCGGTCGGTCGCTCTCTCTCTCTCTCTGCGGTCGGTCGCTCTCTCTCTCTCTCTGCGGTCGGTCGCTCGCTCTCTCTCTCTGCGGTCGGTCGCTCTCTCTCTCTGCGGTCGGTCGCTCTCTCTCTCTGCGGTCGGTCGCTCTCTCCCTCTCTGCGGTCGGTCGCTCTCTCTCTCTGCGGTCGGTCGCTCTCTCCCTCTCTGCGGTCGGTCGCTCTCTCTCTCTGCGGTCGGTCGCTCTCTCTCTGCGGTCGGTCGCTCTCTCTCTGCGGTCGGTCGCTCTCTCTCTGCGGTCGGTCGCTCTCTCTCTGCGGTCGGTCGCTCTCTCTCTCTCTGCGGTCGGTCGCTCTCTCTCTCTCTGCGGTCGGTCGCTCTCTCTCTCTCTGCGGTCGGTCGCTGTCTCTCTCTCTGCTCGGTCGCTCTCTCTCTCTGCGGTCGGTCGCTCTCTCTCTCTCTGCGGTCGGTCTCTCGCTCTCTCTCTCTCTGCGGTCGGTCTCTCTCTGCGGTCGGTCGGTCGCTCTCTCTCTCTCTGCGGTCGGTCGGTCGCTCTCTCTCTCTCTGCGGCGGTCGGCGCTCTCTCTCTCTGCGGCCGGTCGGTCGCTCTCTCTCTGCGGTCGGTCGGTCGCTCTCTCTCTCTCTGCGGTCGGTCGGTCGCTCTCTCTCTCTCTGCGGTCGGTCGGTCGCTCTCTCTCTCTCTGCGGCGGTCGGTCGCTCTCTCTCTCTCTGCGGCCGGTCGGTCGCTCTCTCTCTCTCTCTGCGGTCGGTCGCTCTCTCTCTCTCTGCGGTCGGTCGCTCTCTCTCTCTGCGGCCGGTCGGTCGCTCTCTCTCTCTGCGGTCGGTCGGTCGCTCTCTCTCTCTGCGGTCGGTCGGTCGCTCTCTCTCTCTGCGGTCGGTCGGTCGCTCTCTCTCTCTGCGGTCGGTCGGTCGCTCTCTCTCTCTGCGGTCGGTCGGTCGCTCTCTCTCTCTGCGGTCGGTCGGTCGCTCTCTCTCTCTGCGGTCGGTCTCTCTGCGGTCGGTCGGTCGTCGCTCTCTCTCTCTGCGGTCGGTCGGTCGCTCTCTCTGCGGTCGGTCGGTCGCTCTCTCTCTCTGCGGTCGGTCGGTCGCTCTCTCTCTCTGCGGTCGGTCGGTCGCTCTCTCTCTCTGCGGTCGGTCGGTCGCTCTCTCTCTCTGCGGTCGGTCGGTCGCTCTCTCTCTCTGCGGTCGGTCGGTCGCTCTCTCTCTCTCTCTGCGGTCGGTCGGTCGCTCTCTCTCTCTGCGGTCGGTCGGTCGCTCTCTCTCTCTCTCTGCGGTCGGTCGGTCGGTCGCTCTCTCTCTCTGCGGTCGGTCGGTCGCTCTCTCTCTCTGCGGTCGGTCGGTCGCTCTCTCTCTCTGCGGTCGGTCGGTCGCTCTCTCTCTCTGCGGTCTCTCTCTCTGCGGTCTCTCTCTCTGCGGTCTCTCTCGCGGTCTCTCTCTCGCGGTCTCTCTCTCGCGGTCTCTCTCTCTCGCGGTCTCTCTCGCGGTCTCTCTCGCGGTCTCTCTCGCGGTCTCTCTCGCGGTCTCTCTCTCGCGGTCTCTCTCTCGCGGTCTCTCTCTCGCGGTCTCTCTCTCGCGGTCTCTCTCTCGCGGTCTCTCTCTCTCGCGGTCTCTCTCGCGGTCTCTCTCTCTCTCTCTCGCGGTCTCTCTCTCTCGCGGTCTCTCTCTCTCTCGCGGTCTCTCTCTCTCTTGCGGTCTCTCTCTCTCTTGCGGTCTCTCTCTCTTGCGGTCTCTCTCTCTCTCTTTCTCTCTCTCTCTCTCTCTGCGGTCGGTCTCTCTGCGGTCGGTCGGTCGCTCTCTCTCTCTGCGGTCGGTCGGTCGCTCTCTCTCTCTGCGGTCGGTCGGTCGCTCTCTCTCTCTCTCTGCGGTCGGTCGGTCGCTCTCTCTCTCTGCGGTCGGTCGGTCGCTCTCTCTCTCTGCGGTCGGTCGGTCGCTCTCTCTCTCTGCGGTCGGTCGGTCGCTCTCTCTCTCTGCGGTCGGTCGGTCGCTCTCTCTCTCTGCGGTCGGTCGGTCGCTCTCTCTCTCTGCGGTCGGTCGGTCGCTCTCTCTCTCTGCGGTCGGTCGGTCGCTCTCTCTCTCTCTGCGGTCTTTCTCTCTCTGCGGTCGGTCTCTCTGCGCGGTCGGTCGGTCGCTCTCTCTCTCTGCGGTCTCTCTCTCTCTCTCTCTGCGGTCGGTCTCTCTGCGCTCGGTCGGTCGCTCTCTCTCTCTGCGGTCTCTCTCTCTCGCGGTCTTGCCCCAGTCCCATCTCTCTCTTGTTTCGTCCCGGTCTCGTCCTAGTCTTAATCTCTTCTTGGAGTAAAACATGCCTCAACCAACTCCTTCTCAAAGCTGGTGTGCAGGTTGAAATATAGAGTAACATTTATAAAGATACTACATATTAGTGGTTATCGATCTGGATCGTACCATGTCGTGGTCGGCGACTCGGGTGAACAGCGGGTGTTGGCTGAAGTGCTGGACCATCCACACATGGACCTCCTCCACGTCTGTGTTGGTGTAGACGAGCCCCTGCACGATCAGACAAGCACATATTTACCCCTCAAACACCGGATCAATCATTACACTTTCTGCTCAGTTTTCTCATCGCTTCTGCTTAAATTGTGCCAAACGTCCCGGCGTTTCCCCCGAGTGTCCACAGATAAAACCACCGCGAGGTCAGGGCGCGTTTGCTTTAGCTGATAGCGTTAGCGTTAGCCAGAGCAGGATTCACAGAAATCTGGGCTGACACACATTCACCTGCGGAGTCCAACAGTTACAGCATCGATTTGAACTGATTCCAGGTCTGAGAATTCTGAATAAGCTCCAACACCCAGACCACAAATAGCAATGGACATGACCAGATGCCCGTAACCTCAAAAAAAAGAAATCATTCATATTTTGGAGCGGATCGATAGAACAAAACCAATGGATCTGTCTGAGTTGTTATTGAGTCGGATTTTCAAAAACACCTACAATGTCTGAACAGAAAAACCCACTCGCCCTGTTGTGGCAAAGAAGAGAAAATCAGTTGAGGAAAAGGCATTGTTTAAGAAGACTCTGGAGGCAGCTACGGCTGTGTAATGCAATGGCAGTCGAGTTTTGCTAATTCATAGTCTGTTAGGGGAAGCTAGCACTGGTCAAGTATAGCAGAAAAATTACTCACAAACTTGAGCCCTAATTTAGTGTAATGCTTTCACATTTCAAGCTGGGAGGCTCCATCACAGACACAATGTCATGTGTGCTGGGAGAAGGGTTTGGGGGAGGGCAGGGGGAGTGGTTTTGACTTGGTGCTATTTGAATGCTAAGCTAACATTAATCCTTAACTGCACCTATAAGTACAGGCTTAAAAACATATGGTTTATCGCCCTCTGTGATCCTGATGTTTAAATTGTGATATTGTCTTTGTGAATCCAGAAATGAGCCACATAAGGAAACTCGAGCTTGCCCAAGCACTTAACACGTCTGCCCCAGTTAAAGCACAAAAGGAAATTATGTCACTCTCAGTCAGTCCACTCCTTTAAGAAACGCAGTGTTAGGTGCCCCAGCTTTTAAAGAAACACACAGCGTGATCGTCTACTCCTCACGGTTGGTTTGATGCCGTTTAATCCCTCTTCCTAAGGACATCTGTGCCGCTGCGTTGGTCAAAGCTGCAGATATTGAGCTGATTGGTGGCAGTGAGCGCGGGGGCACCAGGGCTCAAGTGCTTTCGGGGAAGTGGATTTTTACCCAGAACAAGCCGATCACGTCAGCAGCAAACACGACTGTTCACGCCACAGGGCCTAACACGCAGAGGCCGGTGTCCTGAACTGAACCGGGACGAGGGAGAAGAGCGAGGGGAGACACCAGAGTTATCCCAGGGACCAGAATGACCAGAGAGGGACCAGAGAGAAACCAGAGAGGGACCAGTGAGAAACCAGAGAGGGACCAGTGAGGGGGTCCGGAGAGAGGGACCAGAGAGGAACAAGGAAGAGACAGGAGAGGGACCAGAGAGAGGGACCGGAGAGGGACCGGAGAGAGGGACCGGAGAGAGGGACCGGAGAGAGGAACCAGAGAGAGGAACCAGAGAGAGGAACCAGAGAGAGGAACCAGAGAGAGGAACCGGAGAGAGGAACCAGAGAGAGGAACCGGAGAGGAACCGGAGAGGAACCGGAGAGGAACAAGGAAGAGACAGGAGAGGGACAAGAGAGAGACCAGAGAAAAAGAGACCGGAGAGAGAGAGAGAAAGAGAGAGAACAGAGTGAGACCAGAGCGAGAGACTTGCTTACCCCATACTCACACAGAACAAATAGATCATGAATGGTACGTACCCCGACCCTGAGCGTGTAGGCGTACTCTGCTAGCAGCGTGGGGCTGATGATCCTCCACTTGTGTTTATTCTTCTTGAAGTGAGGATCAGGAAACAGGAAGAACATCTTACTGAGCTGCAGGACACAACATTCAGCTTCAGACCACTTTGTTCACACTGTTGCATGTCATTTCCGGCCTCCCTCTCCGGCGGCCTCCCTCTCCGGCGGCCTCCCTCTCCGGCGGCCTCCCTCTCCGGCGGCCTCCCTCTCCGGCGGCCTCCCTCTCCGGCGGCCTCCCTCTCCGGCGGCCTCCCTCTCCAGCCTCCCTCACCAGCCTCCCTCACCAGCCTCCCTCTCCAGCCTCCCTCTCCAGCCTCCCTCTCCAGCCTCCCTCTCCAGCCTCCCTCTCCAGCCTCCCTCTCCAGCCTCCCTCTCCAGCCTCCCTCTCCAGCCTCCCTCTCCGATCTTTTCTAAAATCTAAAAATGTGTGATAATTAATTGCAAAATCCTCAATCACATCTATCCTGGTAACTATGGTAACAGTCAGGAGTCAGATTCTAGCCTGAGTTTCGAGTCAATTTCTCTAATACATAGAGAAAATGATCTAGTACAAATCAACTATGGTCTGATCCACGAGTACCAGCTCTGCACTTAAACCCGACAGAAGAGAGAAAAATCTTCTCAAAAACAAAAACATTTCAATACCAACTGGATGGACCCTCTTTACAATGTCACCGCTCTAAGTATGCTGCGGTTGGAAACTCCCTCCGACGTTTTTCCCCCCATAAAGTTTCCATACATTCTGACGAGAGCCCGAGTGCAAGCCCCATTGATACGAGCCTGGCTATTACATTAAAACGCCCTCAGCGCCGGGCTTTTATTAACTTAAATAAATAACGTCAGGGATAGACAGTAAGATACGGTATAATGACGGGGGACGGCTGGACCCCGGGGGGAGTCGTTACCAGGTGGAAAATACTTCACCTTCTGACGATTCGGTGAAAAGGAGACGTGTGTGTGTGTGTGTGTTTTGCGTGTTTGAGAAATCTGCTGGTTCAACATTTAAGGTGCAACTGGAAACCCGATACAGCTGTTGTGTGTGGGCGGCGGAGGCGGCGTTCTAATGAATGAATGGCACCTGATCGGGGGAACATGAGGGCAGGACCATTTAGGGAAAATGATTAAAAATGTGTGATTTTTCTGGCGTCTCCCTCCTTAGTCTTTCGGTCAAACTCTCTGGTCTCTCTCCGGTCGGCCTCTCTGGTCTGTCTCTTTCTGGTTGTAAATTGGCACAGTATCGGGGGTACTTTAGGGCTGCACAATTTTATCTAAGTATGTGTGATATCTAATTGTAAAATAATCCCTAAATATGTTTACGTTTATGTGACAACACTACGTTCTAAAGAGCGATAGTTTCCCTTTGTGGTGGAGGGTGTCTGAAACAAGTCTCACTGCTAATTTACACATCACGCGTTACAGCACGTACGCGTTATACGCGCAGCAGACGCGCGTAACTTTTTTCCATGTTAACCTATGATGATATTTACACTTCTAGCGTTATACGCGCGTATGACGGACGTATGACGCGAAGCTGCGCTCTAATTTAGGATGGATTTCTAATTTTGTGCGCGCACCAACGCGTCTCCCATTGAAATCTCATGTAAAACATGATTTTTCTAGCGGTCCTTGGCTCTAGAGCGCATCTACGCACACACTGCACTTGTGTCTAAACATCAGCAGGAGGAGCAGCAGGTTTTACAGTGATTCTGGACATCGTTTTTTTTTCTTTCATAGAGTCGGGCGTCTGGCCAAACCAGCGCACAGAGACCATGAAGACAAACACATGCATGTGATTTGTGTTGCTCTACATCAGTCCTCTGGCCCGTACTGTCCTCTGCACTGCTCCATAGACTACACAAGGACAGCATCAGAAGACGCGGACCTGCGCACTGCCTGTGTAGATACTCCAAAAAAATGTTACGCGCAGAGAGCGCGCAGTAAACGCGTACGCGCTGTTTACGCCTACTGTGTAAATTCCCCGTCAGAAGTCAGATTATATTGGTTTAGAGTAGGGCTGTCAAACGATTAATTTTTTTTATCGAGTTAATTACAGCTTAAAAATGAATTAATCGTAATTAATCACATTTCAAACTATTGGCAAAATTATGCCATATTTTTCTGTAAATTGTTGTTTTAATGGAAAGATAAATGACAGCTTAGTGAACATATGTACTGTATTTGTTTGTTATAACAATAAATCCATATAAAATGGCATTAACATTATTAACATTCTGTCTTTCTGTTTAGACTCAGACCAAAACCATTGTTTGTTACAGATGAGGGACATTTCAAAATAGTCTGAAGCAGAATGTCATTAAATCTGTTGCTGTTCTGTATTTGCTCACTCATATTGTGATCCAAATGAATAAGATAAAAATGATCTGACGAAGGCTAAGGCCGAAACGTAATAAATACTAGATCTTTTGGACATCTATCCGAGTGTGCTGTGTATTTTCCAATACTGTATTTGCTCACACCATAACTTTTTTTGGCACAACTAACATGAACTGGTAGTCGAAAGGAAAATTAGGTACCTCAGCTTTAATTTAGAGAGTGCGCTTCGGGAGAAGACACGGAGGAGACTGAGGCTCCGCAGTCCAGCTTCTGCGCTGTACATATTTTGTGCATTGGTTACGCAAAGACATGTACGCACACTAGAGAATAGTTCTGTAATAGTTCTGTGCGTGGTCTTGGATATGATCCCGTTACGCAGCGCCGTTCGCTGTGATCACAGCCGCTGGAAGTGGGAACTGCTGTCCAGAGCGCTGTCGCGCCCGCAGCTCATCATCAGCAGAGTTCATACAGGAAACAACAAGTGCCCCGCGGTCACGCGTGTATTCTTTCAAAACTTGAATTCCCAGAGGGCCTACCTGCTCTGTCCCCGTCTTACACACGCGCATGTGTCCGCAGCATTCTGAGTGTTATTGTGGGACGCATGGGCATGCATTAATTAACGTGCGTTAACGCGATAATTTTGACAGCCCTAGTTTAGAGATGATTCATCTGTAATCCACAGTTTAAATTTCTATCAACTATGGTCCAATTATTTACCCTCTCTGTTCTGTACAATAAGTCACTAATGCACTTGGACTGAAAAAAACCCTGCACTGCTATTGCCACTTTTTTATTGTACATTATTATATCCTGCACAGAATATATTTTTTTAACCTTGGGCTCTCTCTGCTCTCTCTGCTCTCTCTGCTCTCTCTGCTCTCTCTGCTCTCTCAAACATCTCCATCATGCTTATGGTCCATGTAAATTCCCATAGACTGTTTAAGGTCATGTGTTAGTGTAGTTTGTGCGTCCTTGGATAACAGTGTTTTTACGGTGCTGTGCGTCTGGTGCGCTGCTGGCCTTGGCGCGCCGCCGCGGCACACACACCCTAGATATAGCGTATGCTTTAAACACGTCATTGCTGCAGTAATCATTCCCCGGTGGACTTTTACGGCTCGGGCCATCCAAGGTGAGCGCGCTGGTCGGCCTCACCCAATGCCGTCTCACGAGTCACACAGATTACGCCGCTAATTGCCCAATGCGCGACTCTAAGCCAGTGCGCGCCCGCGGCCTGCTCAATGCTGCTTTTGTGCCAGTTTCTCAATTTATTAAGCATTCCTTCCGATTAATCCCTGCCATATGTAAAATATAATGGAAAGGTTCTCAGAAAAACTTGGCACAGCCGCAGATTCTGGGGTTAAGCTCAATTTCAGGTTATAGAAGGTAACGTTTAATGAGCAATTACTGGACTGCGGCTCCATTGTGTGTGTGCACGGATAAGCTGCACATTCACCTTAATGTATAGGGCTCATTTCGAAAGCCAGTCTTGAAATAAATTACCTAAAATTACCCATATAGAGATCAACCAAGCATGCATTTTTCATTTAGCTCTGGGAAGCTTGCCACGCACGGCTTTAACTCGGGGGCGCATCCAGAATGTAATACTATAGACTGCTCCTGGACAGAGAAAACATCAAAACATTATGAATTGGCTTGGGCTGAGGGTCCATACGTTGGACATGATGGATGGGGTTGTCATGGAGATCCTTCAGAGAGAACGGGATTTTTTGATTCTTTGTATAAAGTTATAGAAGGAGGTGTGGGGTGAGATCGCACCGTAAAAGCACACATGTGGGGGACTACGGAGAAGAGAAAAGAACACAGAGTCCTCTTTAAGGGATTAACGGTATGGGGTTATAGGGGCGCAAACACATAGCTGGGGTACGTACCTTTCAGACAACAAACTTATAGAATCGTGGAATTACAATCCATGTCACCAGTTCCTGCATGCATGTGTTTTTGGCCTCAGTCTCTCTCTGGTCACCTTCTCATACCTGTGGTCTTATATCTAACCCTCACAGTATATCCCAGAGTCAAGATCCTGCCGTTGTTTTTAGCTCCATCCACTCCAAAATTGAGTCACAAACCACTTCCCATCCCTTTTGCCAAAATGTTTTGTTCTCAAACGCCACGACAAATTCTCACCTCGTGCATTATTCATTCACTTCGTACACAGAGGTGATAACAGACTCCTGTAGTAACAACTGGGTAAGACTGACCAAAGCAAAACTGCTTCTCTGTGCCATGGGCCCCTCAGTCTCTTTCACCTGCAGGTTTAAAAGGACCAATGATTTACATTCACCCTGCAGGTGAAAGCCAGATCCTGTCAGGCCTCTGAAGCTAAGTAGGGCAGAGTGGGTTAGTACTGTGATGGGAGACCTCTTAGAAGACCACGACTGTAGAGGCACAGAATGTTACGTTACAACGTGATGTGATGCTTCAGCCTCACATCAGTTAACGGCGCAGAGGATGACAGCCTTTCACATCACAAGTGAAGCAAGACGCCAATCCTCAGCAGCAGAAGCTTGCATCACGCGGCATGCATACATACCGGCAGAGCGCGCAGATCCGCGGTGATCAGGCGCTCATCTGTACAAATTGCCACAGAGACCACGAGGACAAACATCTTACTGTTGCTGTCGTATAACAGTCCTTTGGCCTGTTCTGTCCTTCACACTTCTCCATAGACTTTAAAGCGACAGCAACAGCTGCGGGTCTTGCAACAGCTAGCGTTAATATAGGTTAAAATAGGTCTGCGTTAACAGCGCTATTAACTCGTTAAATTGACAGTACTAATTTCCTGTGTTCGGACAGTTTGATTCTCTGACCTATTGGTAAATCCACAACTTTGTAAAGTCCTGAGTCCGGCTGCTGTTGTGATTTATTGCAATACAAAATACATTGTATTGAATACATCTCTTTTCAAATCAGCCTGAACCCGAGGCAATGGTGTAGGTTTTGTTTAGAACTTGGTGGAGACATTCACTGGTGTGACTACACCTATTGACGGGGGTGTAGTTTCTAACCCTGTACATCTGTGATTGTTCACAGTAGGTACAATCACAGTGGTGTAGCGTGTACTGGCGGCTGTGCACGCTACACCACTACACGCTACACCAGTAACAGACAGACGCGAATGAGACGAGGCACACGCACAAACCTCTTCACTCCTAAACAACGCGGGTATGTTGGTGACTACCACAATCCTACGCTGGGCTGATATTTGTGAGATCAGTGAATACCAGAGGGTCGTGTGCTCGTTGTTTCAAAAATTCTGCCCAAGGAAGAGCGACAACAGGCTATGGAGCGTTCACAAACAAAGCATTGCATCTCTGGTTTAAATAAACAGAGATACACGCCTGATGTGCGCGCACACGAGCCACTCAGGGGAACAGTCTGCAAACTTTGGACAAACAATATGTCTATATTCTGCAATATTCTAGATCTACAGTGCTTTACATGGTACAACGCTCAGGGAAAGCAAAATACGCGTTTCACACTGGCTAAATGGCTTCACTGACTGACTTATAGAAAGTAAACAATAGTACAGCAGTGTTTGACGCTGAGGAAGGGAACGAGTCCCATGCTGCTGCGGCTGCTGTTGCTGCTGCTGTTGCTGCTGCTGCTCCTGCTCTGGAGGCGAGGAGGAGGCGCAGCACATGCACTAACTGAAGACATGTGCCCCGGACCGTCCGGGTCATCATGTCATTTTGGGTGGGAACATTTTGGTCCACACCAAATATTGGTGGGGACATGTCCCCATGGTCCCCACGCAAACCTACGCCCATGTCTTGAGGTGTCGCGAGGAGCCTCACGCTGCCCCCTTGTGGCGGCTGCTCACCTGTCCTTTGGTGAAGAAGTTGGGCAGGTACTTCATGGCGTTGCCGCGGATACAGGCGATGTTCTGATACTTCCCGGGCTCGGCCGCTCGAAGCGCCGTGATCCGGTCACGGACGTAATCTGACACTTTGACCCGTATCTCCATCCCCAAGGCGAGCTGCTGCGGGAACAGTGTGGACAGCTCCACTGCAGACAGGAAACATGAGCCTTTAGGAGAGAAACCTCCCTCTAGCACCTCCTCCCACTCCCTCTAACACCTCCTCTCACCCCCTCTGGCACCTCCTCTCACCCCCTCTAGCACCTCCTCCCACTCCCTCTAACACCTCCTCTCACCCCCTCTGGCACCTCCTCTCACTCCCTCTGGCACCTCCTCTCACCCCCTCTGGCACCCCCTCTGGCACCTCTCTGGTGCATCTCACCCTCTCTGGTGCCTCTCACCCTCTCTGGTGCCTCTCACCCCCTCTGGCACCTCCTCTCACCCCCTCTGGCACCTCTCTGGTGCCTCTCACCCTCTCTGGTGCCTCTCACTTCCTCTAGAATTTTTGAAAGGCCAATCATAAAGGGATGAAAATGAAATTAAATGTAAATTATTTCTTAAATGTTGCAATAGGCATTAGAGTGACGGTATATCACTGTCTTTATTCACAAACCTAAAAGTCCTCCATATCCACAGCCGATATCCGCAAACTCCACTTTTGGCGAGAGCTCTGAGTCCGAGTCCTTGAAGAAGTTTGGATAGAGCCGAGACCAGTCCATTTGCTGTGGGTTCACTGGACTGAACACAGAGACAGAGACACAAACACACAATCTTGAATATACACCAGTAGCGTTACAGATTAGGGCTTGCTGCAGAGGCGAGAAACAGCATTTGGGCCAATGAAATTAGGCTAAAATTAACAATGAGGGTTACGAGTTGGGCTGCATTAACGATTATGTTTATAATCTATTTGTTTCTTAACACCCCTCAAGCCATGTTATCTTTGAGTTCAGTATAGAGCAGACTGTGTGAGTGTTTTATATGATAAAGTTCTTGTGGTCCTGGATCCATATCCCTATACCTACCTCAAGGCCAGGACAACAGGTCCATTGCAGCTTTATACTAAATGTTCTAGTGTGTTCTATTCCAAAGTTAGCGTAGTTAAATTAAAAACAACACCAAAGAGAAAGACAAAAAAGAGAGACCAAAGAGAAAGACCAAAAAGAGAGACCAAAGAAAGATCAAAGAGGGTCTTTCTGAGTGGAGTTTGCATGTTCTCCCCGTGCTTGCGTAGGTTTCCTCCGGGTACTCCGGTTTCCTCCGGGTGCTCTGGTTTCCCCTACCACTGATGACATGCACACTAGGTAATAACCTTCCCGGGCGCTATTCTACGGCGACCATTGCTCTTGACGTAAGCCCTAGTGGCATCAGTATGGGTCAAATGCAGAGGATGAATTGCCCTACGGGGATTAATAATGTGCACCTTTACCAAAGAGAAGAACCAAAGAGAAAGACCTAAGAGAGAGCGAGACCAGAGAGCGAGACTAGAGAGAGAGAGACCAGAGAGAGACAGCGAAAGACCAGAGAGAGAGAGACCAGAGAGAGATCGAGACAACAAAAGACCAGAGAGAGAAAGACCTATCATTTATTTTCTTACTCTCGGGGCTCTTTCTAGTATACAACATATAACATGTTTTCTAATCAGATGATCGTGATGTGGTTTGTTTATTTTTTACAAGACTCTTTCTGCTGGAACAAACACGTATCATTCGTGACACAAAAAGTCAGGTGTCCCAACTTTGTAGTGAATGCATTCCTGTCATGTTGTGGACTCACTAGTCGAACTCGTGGTGCGCCATGGGGTTGGAGTGCGCCCGCTGCCGGTAAAACTTCTTCTGGGGCATGGAGCTTGTCATGTCGGCGGCAGGACGTGGGCTTTCCCCGCGGGGAAGACCGAGACAAGGACCGGGTCTTGCCAAAAGAAGCAGGTCTCGACAAACGCAGAGTTTATTCCCAGATGTTTGTCACGTTTGTCTGATATCTCCGGCGGTGTGTCGCAGGAGTTTGACGTCATTTCCAGCATAATTGTTTTTTCCCCAAACGCAAAAATCTATATTTTCCCTTCACATAATTTTCGTTTTGATTTGATGAAAGACATAAAGCGCTTTAAAAGTATTTTATGTTTTATCATAGTCATTCAGGGTTATTTTAGCAAGAGTTGGGTTTGAGAAGAGTTTATCTCTGCAATAGCTGAAGGGAATAATGGAAAACAATGACAGACACGGGGCTGAGTACGTGTCTGGTGTCTTGTTATTACAGTAAAAACCACCAAACGTTCCCCTCTGACCAAACGCTAATTGTACAGCTCCTGTTCTACACACAGATAATATAATTGTTTTTGTTTTCAGCTACATGTTTTTTATTTTATTTTATACACAATTGAATACAGTCACTTGCATAAACTAGGGTGACCCGGGGTGAGCGTAAGGGGTTAAAGCTTCCGAGGTCTGCCTGAGGTTAAGCAGAACCTGGTTAGTATATCACCGGGTCGAACATGCACGTTTCCCGCGTAATTTCCAGCGGAAACGTAATGCGTAATAACGTCATTCGCGTTCACGCCATCAATCTATTCACGCTCCTCTGAAGCAGTAGTTGTATCCAGTGAAGCTGCCGAGCGAGAGGTGGCTTTGGGAGGATGAATACAACGAAGAATAACAAGAGACCGGCTTCGAGCAGCGCTGAATCTCCAGCCCAGAGCCCAACTAATGTAAAGAAAAAGAGAGTTTATTCGAGTGCGACGAAAAAGGCGAAACTCGAGTCTGACCGCCGAAGGCAACTAACGAGGATAAACATTGGAGATGCTTTTGAGCAGTGGAAAACTCTGAGAGAATCTCTGGGCATAAAAAAGGACCAACAGTTAGCTTCATTTTTGCTTAAATGGTAAGATATTATTTCTGAAAACGTGTGTGAAAAGTAGATGCTTTTAAAGCAGCGGTGCCTGTGCATCGCAAGGCTGCTCAGCGAAATAATGTTTTGTTCTCCGCAACTGAGTTTTTATTTGTGGAAACGCTGAGAGTGAGACAAATAATGTCTTATTTCAAAATACCAGCCGTAATCCACTGTTCTAGCAAGATATCTGCGTCAAACTACCTCAATAGCTGGCTATGTTGAGTGAGCGGAGGCGCGGTGGTTTGTTTACAAACGGGGCTTTTCTTTTCGAAACAACTAAACGCACCAGCAAAAGGTCTCGTTGTTTAGCTGAGAAGGAGAGGATTACGAACATGCCCAGTGTTTAGGGCCAAATCCACCGTAGTTTTAGCAAAGTGGTGTATTTTAGCAACTAGTAATGTTAAAGACATTATTTCCGCTAAAGAAAAACTCACATTTCAGGATTATATCTCAAGAATGGACTATATTCTTGACTATATAGACCTTCTCCACTGACTCTCACTGATGTCTGCTGTCGTTGTGTCCTTGGGCAAGACACTTAACCCACTTTGCCAAGAAGGAGCGTGGAAGTGAATGTTCTCTGCTTGCCTTGATGTGTATGTGTATGCATCAAACTGAAATTGCCCCATTGTAAGTAAGTTAGTAATCTTTATTTTCACAGACCAGAGTCACAAAGCGGTTTACAATTGTTATTTTTGGGCATTTTTCCTCTCAATCCACACAGAGATGGGAGCAGGGTCACCAGTACAGGAGGCGCATGCCAGACCTATTGTACATGTTTTTAGTGGTAGGGGAAACCGGAGTACCCGGAGGACCTTCTTGCTGAGAGGCGAGAGTGCTATCCACTCAGCCCGTGTGGGATGAATAAAGAACCTTCTTCTTCTTCTTCTTTATTTTGGAAATTAAAAGTGGATATTGTTTTTCCATGGACATTTACGGAATCAATGTGCCATAGATCATTCAATGTTATAGATGCAGCACAAAAAGGCAATATTATGCTTTATATCTTTGGTACATCTAGTATTGCTTGCAAAAAACGCAGCAAAACTTTTCCCATCGCTCAGGTCTAAGTAAAGGGTGCTCTGTATGTGGCGGCGTAGTTACGGTTGCTATGAAGGTGGTGTAGGCACATTGTAATTGCAGCAGTAGTGTTATAGTAATTGTCTCACTGCAGTATCACTAGCAGTTACAGTGGCTCTGTTGTTCTAGTTACGAGAGGCACACTCTATCAAAGGGACCACTCGAGTCAACGCCCCATGGCCCATCAGCAAAGGTTTTACTGAGGCCCCGTCCCCCTGCTTCAGTGACTGCAGGTGAATCTGATAGGTAAGTTTGCCAAATCCAACTTCTGTTTTCAGGTTACCCCCCATCCACCTACCTACAACAAATATTTTTTTTGTGCTACAGGGATGACTTACAGATTGCAAGAGTTGAATCTTTGGCAGCAGATCAAGGGTTACAATCGTTGGAGAAAAGGTAAACAAGCATGGCTTTTATCATTTGATGTAAACTTTTTTGTGTAGCAGCAAATGAATGGAGCTGAAGGATGACTGTTCTTTTTTGACTTCCAGAATAAAGATTGAAGAAGATGGAGCTCTAGACCCGTATGATTCAGATTATGTGCCACCAATCTCATTACAGTATGTTTTATGTAAAAAATATATCAAATAGTAATTTTCCCTATCTCTCACTTTTCACTCACTGATTGTATAAAATTAATTTGGCCCGTAAAACAACAGTGCATAATAGGCTGTAAAATAATATGAAGCTTGTGGGGTTTGACTAAAATACATTGCATGGTACAAAATGCTAACTAGTACACATGGAATACTATTATATTTTGAATAATGAGTCATCCTTTTTTTGCTCTGAGCGTTTTCCACAAATATAAAAGCGCAGCAAAACTTTTCCCATCGCTGAGGTCTAAGTAAAGGGTGCTCTGTATGAGGCGGCGTAGTTACGGTTGCTATGAAGGTGGTGCAAAACCTCTATTACTGACTGTCACTTGTAAATGTAGGCACATTGTAATTGCAGCAGTAGTGATATGCTGAGTCTTTGAAACACGTGTCGAGTTATAGTAATTATCTCACTGCAGTATCACTAGCAGTTACAGTGGCTCTGTTGTTCTAGTTACAAGAGGCACACTCTATCAAAGGGACCACTCGAGTCGACGCCCCATGGCCCATCAGCAAAGATGTTACTGAGGCCCCGTCCCCCTGCTTCAGTGACTGCAGGTGAATCTGATAGGTAAGTTTGCCAAATCCAACTTCTGTTTTCAGGTTACCCCCCATCCACCTACCTACAACAAATATTTTTTTTGTGCTACAGGGATGACTTACAGATTGCAAGAGTTGAATCTTTGGCAGCAGATCAAGGGTTACAATCGTTGGAGAAAAGGTAAACAAGCATGGCTTTTATCATTTGATGTAAACTTTTTTGTGTAGCAGCAAATGAATGGAGCTGAAGGATGACTGTTCTTTTTTGACTTCCAGAATAAAGATTGAAGAAGATGGAGCTCTAGACCCGTATGATTCAGATTATGTGCCACCAATCTCATTACAGTATGTTTTATGTAAAAAATATATCAAATAGTAATTTTCCCTATCTCTCACTTTTCACTCACTGATTGTATAAAATTAATTTGGCCCGTAAAACAACAGTGCATAATAGGCTGTAAAATAATATGAAGCTTGTGGGGTTTGACTAAAATACATTGCATGGTACAAAATGCTAACTAGTACACATGGAATACTATTATATTTTGAATAATGAGTCATCCTTTTTTTGCTCTGAGCGTTTTCCACAAATATAAAAGCGCAGCAAAACTTTTCCCATCGCTGAGGTCTAAGTAAAGGGTGCTCTGTATGAGGCGGCGTAGTTACGGTTGCTATGAAGGTGGTGCAAAACCTCTATTACTGACTGTCACTTGTAAATGTAGGCACATTGTAATTGCAGCAGTAGTGATATGCTGAGTCTTTGAAACACGTGTCGAGTTATAGTAATTATCTCACTGCAGTATCACTAGCAGTTACAGTGGCTCTGTTGTTCTAGTTACAAGAGGCACACTCTATCAAAGGGACCACTCGAGTCGACGCCCCATGGCCCATCAGCAAAGATGTTACTGAGGCCCCGTCCCCCTGCTTCAGTGACTGCAGGTGAATCTGATAGGTAAGTTTGCCAAATCCAACTTCTGTTTTCAGGTTACCCCCCATCCACCTACCTACAACAAATAATTTTTTTGTGCTACAGGGATGACTTACAGATTGCAAGAGTTGAATCTTTGGCAGCAGATCAAGGGTTACAATCGTTGGAGAAAAGGTAAACAAGCATGGCTTTTATCATTTGATGTAAACTTTTTTGTGTAGCAGCAAATGAATGGAGCTGAAGGATGACTGTTCTTTTTTGACTTCCAGAATAAAGCAAAGGAAGGTTTCTCACCCATCATCTGTACTTCTTAGAATAAATGTCACAATAGGTCTGTGACATGCTAAGGAGTTAGGGTCGTTAGCCTCAGCAGGGTCGTTAGACCTGCTCCCTTCTACATCAAGCAGACCTTAGATTGTTTATGAGTTAGTATCAGGATTAGGGTGTGGCTAACCACACACATAGGTTATAAATCTCCAACGCGCGGTCCGAGAATTCATTCCCTGAAGAAGTCCGCTAGTTTGAGGACGTTGGGAAAACTTTCTAAGAAGTACAGATGATGGGTGAGAAACCTTCCTTTGCTTTGACTAATCCCTGTACGACTGAGAGCTTACACAAACTTCCAGAATAAAGATTGAAGAAGATGGAGCTCTAGACCCGTATGATTCATATTATGTGCCACCAATCTCATTACAGTATGTTTTATATAAAAATAGGGCTGGGACTCGATTCAAAAAAATGTATCTAATTAATTAGAGGCTTTGTAATTAATTAATATAATTATTTGACCTGAGAACAGTGAGAAGTAATGCATATTACGCAT